CCATGCATTGATAACCCTGATGCATAGGAGAGTACCCTAGGAAGACACAAGCCTTGGATCGAAAGTTTAACTTGTGAGTATTGAACATCCTGAGATTAGGAAAGCACTGACATCCAAAATTTTTGAAAAATCTATAATCATGGGGCTTATTATATAGCTTCTGATAAGGAGACACATTACCAAGGTTCTTGGAGGGTATCCTGTTGATGAGATACACAACACTAAGAACTGCATGAGACCAGAAAGTTAGGGGCATTGAAGCTTCTACTAGCAGAGTCAAGGCAGTTTCAACTATGTGCCTATGTTTTCTTTCCACCACCCCATTTTGTTGTGAGGTATGTGGGCATGATTTCTTGAGTTTAACACCTAGTTTGCATGAGACAACTTCTAGAAATCGAAACTCTCCTCCATTGTCTGTTTGTAAAGCATGAATTGTAGTTTTGAACTGATTAGAAACCAAGGCTGAAAACACTTCAAAAGACACAGCAACTTCACTTTTATTTCTTATCAAATAGACCCAACTGTTTCTTGAGTACAAATCTACAAAACTCAAAAAATATTTGAAACCACTAGAAATAATAGGGGCAGGACCCCATACATCAACTTCAACTAACTCAAAAGGCTGCTTATACACAGTTTGTGACATATGAAAAGGTTGAGTTTTGCTTTTTCCCATCTAACAGGCTGCACAAACCTTACTTTTGTCTACACTGAGTCTCTTATTGAGGGTTGTCATTACCACCTCAGGTGCTGGATGACCGAGCCTCTTGTGCCATAACAAGTACTCATTATTATTGCTAACAATAGTGTTATTGAGTGTTGATGCTCCTTGCATAGTCTGACAATCAAAACTTTACAATCCTCCATCAAGTTTTCCTTGTATCAGCACGACTCCTGTGCATTCATCCTTAACATAACAAGCATTTTTGTGAAATTCAAAGAAAACGAAATTGTTTTGTGTGAATTTCGAAACTGATAAGAGATTCTTGTTAATATTTGGGACATGCAGTATTTGATCAAATAAGAGATCCTTAGAGACAATTTTTAAAGCATTCCTACCAATGTGAAGGATTGGAATAGAAGAACCATCACCTAGATGAACCTTACCACTGTAGTGTATGCTTGCTTGCTCGAGAATGTGGAGGTGGTGCCAGTCACATGGTGTGTGGCTCCTGAATCAGGAAACCATTTAGCATGATTCAAAGGACCATTAGCCATTAACACATTGACCTGCACATTATCACTTGGTTCAACAGCAGATGTGTCTTCACTTCCATCACTACCACTTACAAAGGGACTGTAATGGAAGTCAGGTGTATGTCAAAAACATGAACATGTATTTGCCTGCATGTCGTTAGATAAGGGGTTTTGTTGAGTGGTTACTCCTTTGAAATTTTGATCAAACCTATGCCAGCACCTGTCAACTAGATGGCCTAGCTTCCCACGCAATTGACATTGCTACTTAGGTCTTCCTTTATATTTGTTGCTCGTGGTGCTGTTGGGTTTAGAAGTCGCGCAACTCTTGTACTGTTGTGTATCAGAAACCTGATTGGTGTTGTAACGTGTGAAATTAACACCTATTGGGAACCTTGATGAGTCATCAAGACGAGATTCAACATCAATAAGAACAGAAACTACATTATCAAGGGAAAATGAATCTCTGCTTGCAGTGATCGCAGCCACCGTTGGCTCATATTCGACTGGAAATCCATTAAGAATGGTGGCAATGTGATCGATGTCTGAGATAGGGTTACCATACGTGGCCAAGAGATCGCATATTTCTTTGATGGCCATGGTGTAATCTCTCATAAACTGAGAGCCTTTCTTCATCGATCTAAGATGACAATGCAGAGCCATTATCTTTGTGGTAGATAGTTCGGAATACAACCTGGTGATGGCATCCCAAACTGCAGCAGTGGATTCGACACCAACCAATTGAGGCAGAATGTTGGTGCTAACAGTGGAAAGAAGCCAAGAGGCCAAAGATCTGTCTTGCTTGACATACCGAAGGTAAGCTGGATTATCAATCTGTTCTCCAACCTCGTTGAGTATCAGCTTTGCTGGAACCACCATGGATTCTTCAATAAAGCTTTCAAGACCGAGCCCTCTGACTGTGAGAATCACTTGTTGCTTCCAAAGAAGGTAGTTCGAGTCGGTTAAGCATACATTGATTATTTTATTAGCGAAGGTATGCGAGCTGGCTTCTGTCAGCTGTTCATCCTCGGCCATCATTGTAATGCCTTGAACCATGACTGTTCTTTGAAGACAAACAAGAACCAGAAAGCACGAGCGAAGAAAGAATGGCACACAACGGAGCTTTTTCAAGATCTAATGGCGAATGATACCATGTTAACCATGGCATGAAACTTAAGAAAATGAACAAGAGAGAAATGCAGAAAACGTGGTATTGCATTCATGTGTCTTTTACAAAGATGAGCAACTATTTAAAGTTGTGAATGAGTTGTTGCATGATCGGTTGTAACAGTATTACAATCGACTACCATCCTAATCGTATATGGTTTAACATGCTTAACTGAATATGGTTTAACATGCATGATAAAGAAACATTAATCAAATTATGTTATTTTCTTATCATGATTCTTTGTTTGTAAACATTGTTCTTAAGTTATCAGAAACAACTAGAAACGACTAAGGTTCTGGGTTCTTTAGATACATGGATGGACGGAAGGGGACCGGTGGGAAGAGTCGTTCTCTAGATATTTCAAATTAGCATATTATATATATATATATATATTCAATTGACAATATATTTTCTTCCTTTAGAATTTTATAAGTTTACTCATTCCTAAAGTTTTAAAAGTATGTCCCTAGAATAAAATCCTACGTCATCCATGTTTAGATATATTCCCACTTTGAACCATGCAGGAATCTTCTATCCAAATTTTAATTCAGTTAAAATTCACAAAATGTGGATCTGGTTTCAAATATATATTTTAATTAATGAAGTTATATATATTATTTGTATAATATAACAAGTTGACATCTATTAACCTTGTTTTCCGCCATTTTTTTTGGGTAGAAAGAGGCCAAAAATGACATGGACTATTCTTCTTCAAGCATTTCTTTGTGCGTTATTTGGGTAAGCAAAAAGGGGAAAAAAGGCTTAATTAGCTAAAAATTCAACGCTGCATTTGATTTAATAATGTATTTTATCCTATTTTAATGATCTTAAATCTTAAATAAAATTAGTTCTATATTTAATAAATGAAAATAAATTTAATATTCGAATCAAATTATGTCATATGTCACCATTTGATTGGAGACTTAAATTAATTTAATTGATTTTAATTTAATATATTTATTTTCTACCAATCTGAGGATGACACGCGTCACCCTTTGAAAGAAAATAAATAACATATAAATGAGAGTACTGGGATTCAAACCAAAGTGGCATAGGTGAGCAACCATACTATAAACCAACAAGCCAAGCCTACTTCTTAGTCTTAAAATGACAATATGTTGTATATATTTAATATCATTATGTATTAATAATTAACTTGATTTTATAATAATTTATGTTTTTTAATAAAACAATTTATGTATTTTAACTTTAAAAAATATATTTTATTTTTATTTTAACTTATTAAATATATTTTATTATCAAATTAAATTAAAAAATATATTTTATTCTTATTTTAGTATAAAATATTTTTTTATTCTTGTCTAACTTAAAAAATATATTTTATCTCATCTTAACTTTTAAAAATATAATTTTATTATCATTTTAAATTTTAAAAATGTATTGTATTCTTACTTTAAATTATTAAATATGTTTTATTTATATATTAACATAAAAGTATTTTAATCTTATTTTAGCTTAAACAATATACTTTATTCTTGTCTTAACTTAAAATGTATATTTTATTCTTATTTTAACTTTAAAATTTATATTTTATTTTAATCTTCATTTAAAAATATTTAACATATATTTAATAAGTTAAGTGAAGAATAAAATATATTTAACAAGTTTATGTAATAATAATATATATATTTGGAATATATTTAAATTAAGACAAAATAAAATATATTTTTAAAATTTAAGATAAGAACAAAATATATTTTTCAGTTAAAAATAAAAATAAAATATATTTTAAAGTTAAGATAATAATAAAATAAATACTTTTAAATTAAAATTAATAATAAAATAATTAAAAAATAAGTTTAGAATAAAATATATTTAATAAATCAAGATAAATTATATTTTTAAAGTTGGGAATATAAAATATTATGAAATTAAGTTAGTTATTTATACAGTATGATATAAAATATATATAACATATTGTCAATTTAAACCCAGTATTAGTTTTGGTTATGTGGTTCAGCCCTTACTTTCTCTCCCAAACGACCTTGGATCAATCTCATTGCTAGCAATTTGCATGATTTGTTTTCTATCAACCATAGCGTGACATGTGTCACTGATTAGTGAAAAATAAATATATTAATTTAAAACAAATTAATTTAATTTAACACTAACACGTGGCAATATTTGATTCGATGATTAAATTTATTTAACAGTGACATAAATTGATAGAATGTGTAAATATTACGGACTAAATATATAATTATACCAATTTTATTAACAACACATCACCACCTATATTAAAAATTAACGGCCGATAACTTGATTGAAACATTAAATGATTGGGTGGTCTGATTGATTAAATTGAAACGTTGGTGGTCAAAACTATTTTTGACCATAGTTTGGTGATCCCCGTGTAGTTTACCCTTATATTTATATACTATATAACAACTACACAGATTTACCAAAAAGACAACAACTACATATAGAACGTGAATTTTCATTTGCTTATAAATTTCAAGGTCTCTCATCTTCCATTTCATTCACACACACTAGCATACTTTCTGGGATTCGTATACAAAAGAAAAAGCATGATTTGTCCACTTGGGTTTTCGGTCTTCAAAAACAAAATACGAGACAGAATATTAAGACATTGCAAGAATTAAAGCCTATGCTGTTGATGGTGTTGGTTCAAGTAATATTTGGTGTGATGAATGCACTTTACAAATTGGCAGCAAACGATGGGATGAGCTTGCGAATCATCGTGTCTTATAGATTCATATTTGCCACTGCTGTTATGATTCCTCTTGCTCTCGTTGCTGAAAGGTTTGCTCTCTCTCTTTCATTTTTTAATGTTCACTTTTTTTTTTTGCCTTCTAAGCATTATTAGATTATCAAATAACATTGGTTTCACTCCATGCATGGATAAAGAGCAGTGAGGAACATTAATCAAATTCTGTTGTTTTTTACCATGATTCTTTGTTTTATAGACATTGTTCTAAGGTTATCAGAAACAACTAGTAAAGACTAAGGTTGTGGGTTCTTGAGCAAGGTTCCCACTTTGTATAAACCATAGGGGAATCTTCTGTCCAAAATTTATTTCACTCAAAATTCATAAAACGTGGATCTGATTTCAAATATATTTTAATTAATTAAGTTATATAATATAACATATTGACAACTACTAACCTTGTTTTCCGATATTTTTGTTGGGTGGGAAGAGGCAAAAAATAACATGGACTATTCTTCTTCAAACATTTCTTTGTGCGTTGTTCGGGTAAGCAAAAAAGGCTTAAGTAGCTAAAGATTCAACGCTGCATTTGATTATAGGTGAAATGGACTATTCAATACAAATAGGATCATTTTATTATAAGTTATTATTCTATCTAGAAAAGTTGTTGTAAGTGAATAGTGTTTCATCTCTTGAGATATTTATTTTCACTTTGCAGGGGGTCACTAACTCAAAATTTGTACATAGAAAGTCTGGCCTTAACATCTGCAACCTTTGTTTGTGCCATGACAAATCTCATCCCAGCCATAACCTTCATTATAGCCATCATTATGTATGTATGTATGTTTCTTTTTTACTAAAAATTTGGTGGGTTCAATACCAAAGTTTATGACAGACTAGAAAAGCTTGCATTGAGGACAACGGCAGGGAAGGCAAAGGTTTTGGGAACTGTAGTTGGAATAGGCGGGGCAATGGTACTCACGTTATACAAAGGACTCCCAATCAATATAACAACCCATATTAACCTTCGTCCTAATGGCTCTAACTCCTCAGATGCTACTCATCATCTATTGGGTGCTTTGTTGGCCTTTGTCTGCTGCATTTGTTATGCTCTTTGGATGAAAATTAGCTGACCCTTATTCCCATATGTAATGAGGTAAGGGAGAGGTAGGATAGAAGGCTGCCCCCAACGTCAGGTTGAGAGCAGTTTCTGTAGGAGACCTCCAAATTATGAAATGCCCTCCATGAGACTCGATCCCACGACCCCAAGATTAAGAGCCTTGTGCTCTACCAACTGAGCTGGATGAGAATCGTAGAAGCAGTTATTTTTGCATTGTGTGTGGGAAAAGAGAGTCGGTGGAAATTAGGGTAGAATATTAGGCTGCTCACTGTTGTGCACTCAGTATGTTAACTAGTGTAATCTGTTGAGCCCAGATCTTTAGTTGTGTTTTAAGGGTTTAGAGTGGAATAATAAAGAGTTTTTTCATTGGTGCAGGGAGTTTTAGGAACGTTTAGTTTGTTGTCTTGGTGTGCACGGATTAAATGCATCCGAATTATGGGCCTCAGTCGTGCTACGTACGCGTAAAGTATTGTGAAAAAAAATGAAATGATCTTATCTTTTAAAATATCTTTGATATAGCACAATTCAAATAGGATATTTATCATTTTTAAGTATATCGTTTATAAAATAAATTCATTGTTAATACATGAGATAATAATGTTCCTATCATTGAATTAGTTTAAAAAGAAGGACTAGAGAATTAATAATATTATATTGTTTGTTCCGTAGGAAGAGGCCAAAAATAACATGGACTATTCTTCTTCAAGCATTTCTTTGTGCGTTGTTCGGGTAAGCAAAAAAGGCTTAAGTAGCTAAAGATTCAACGCTGCATTTGATAATAGATGAAATGGACTATTCAATACAAATAGAGTTATTAATATTATGTTGTTTGGTTGAATAAAATCACATGAAAAAATTGATAAAAACGTCAATCTTAGGAACCAAATTACACACAACATAGGAGGGGGTTTGACTAGTTTTTTTCCCGTTTGATTCAACATTAGATATTTAATAATTTAATTTTAAACATATTTTCTTAAAAAATTCCTATAATTTTTGCACCCACGTCCACTCTAATTTCATCCTTGGTCAATTCGTTAATCAAGTTATAAAAATTTAGTAATAGTTAATTTGTTTCAAAATGTTAAATCTAATAAAATAGATAGTATAGTTGATTGTACGCATGATGACAAAATAGATAGCCAGTCCATTCTAATCTAATACTCGTCTCGTCTTAGTATGGCCCCTTATTTCTCGAAGGAAAACTCTACCTTGGAAGGTAAGTGGATAAATGTTGTGATGATGAGACATTGATAATATAAATATATTTTTTAAAAGAAATTTGAATAAATTTATTTAATTGGATTTAAAAAGAATTGAGTTAAGCTAATAAAATAAGATTTACTAATTTAATTAAGCGTAAAGTACACTTACGATTATGGGCCATTGCTTTGTTGAGTCACTAATTATTAAAAGTTACAAATGATCCTCTGACTATATAGCTTTACTTTGTTGAGTCTCCAACTATTAAAAATTACAAAATTATCTTTTGACTATAAGGCATTATTTTGTTAAGTCTTCCGACTATTAAAAGTTACAAAATGATCATACGACTATAGGACGTTACTTTGTTGAGTCCCGACTATTAAAAGTTACAAAATAATCCTCCGATTATAGGAAGTTACTTTGTTGAGTCCCCCAATTATTAAAAGTTACGAAATGATCACTCGACTATTCATATGTTTTAAACTCGTCATTTTTCGTTAAAAAAATTAATGACAGTCTAAGTTGGATGTTAACGTGTTGACTAAGATATGATAAAATCTGATCCCAGAATCTCAAACAACTATACACCTCAAACGATTTTGGGATTAGATTTTATCATATCTCAGTCAACATGTTAACATCCAACTCAGATGAATGTCAATTTTTTTAATGGAAAATGACGGATTTGAAACTTATAAATAGTCGGGTGGCCATTTTGTAACTTTCAATAGTCAAGGGACTCAACAAACAATGCATATAATTGGGAATCATTTTGTAACTTTTCATAGTTATGGACTCAACAAAATAATGTTCTATAGTCGATGGATCATTTGTGTACTTTATCCTTTAATAAAAAAATCACTTGATTCTATGAAACACTTAATCATGTAATGGACGGGAGGAGCTTGATTGATTGTAATATCAGAAAGGAATCCACCCTTCGCCTTGTTTTAAGACCGTTGCGGATCGCAGATTTTTTTGAAGATCTTGACCGAATAAACAAACCCCTTGAAGATGGTAAGTTGGGTTGCAATTGGCAATGCCAAGGCAAAAATTCAGTACAAGGGATCCCCCATATCAACGATTGCGGGCAGATAATTGGAAGCTGGGAGGACGTTAGCTGTTTTGAATATTCCGCAGAGACCTTGTTCTTCGTCACTGATTATTCCAACGAAACCAGTTTTTCTTTCTTATGCCATTAGGGAAGTGCTTGTTTTCAATGTCCATTTTCTGGGTCTCGTCTCTCGTAAATTTTGGTGACATGTTCTTTTATCATGTATTTGGTTCTTCTGTGTTAATGATTGTTTTATCATTTAAAAAAGAAAAAATCATTTTGCAATGCAAAATTAACAATTATTGGAATCAATTGTCGGTGATGATTGATGTAAATGTAAACAAAAGAAGGTAATGGAGAAGTCAAATCTAAGATTGTCTAGTTTTTATCAAATACCAAATCTATCTATACAAGTACAAGAAGAAACAGACTATCTTGGCTTGTCTGCCCTTCTTCTCTCATCCATTCTCTCTTACAAATTTAGCCCAAACACTAATGACAAGAAGTTCAGCTTTTATCATGAAAGAAACAAAAAAAGGCGCAAGCCAAATATTCTTGTGAATTTTACAACCAGAATTTGTATAGATTGCTTCACAATCACAGGATTCATCTTCCGACAGAATTACAGTAAAAACGATACTTTACACTAAATGAAATTCTTTTTAATTTACAAAAACATTTTACATTATCTAACCAAATACCCACATGTATGTAATAAATTAAAGCACCAGACGTCCATCTTCAACTGCAATGGGATCCTACGCAGAAGTCCCAAAGCTTGCACAAACTTCTACTTTCCGATTTCATGTTCCTTCTCATATACAACTCGCTTCAATTGGTTCTAGCAGTTCATTTTTATCTATGATAAAAAAAATGTCGAGCCAAAAAAAGGGGGGGGGGGTCAGGAGCTGGCTGACATTTACCATTGCAATGAATGAACTCGCCGAAGCACTTTTCGCGGTGGTTTTCGTTTCTCCTCAACAGGGATTAGGTTCTCCATCAGCTGTATTCAACATAAGCAACAAGCGAGCATCATAATTTGAACCAAGTCTTTCATCATATAAAACCCGATAAACTAGTCAGATTAATATGCTGTATGCAATGAAAGAATTTAATTTTGAACTGATGCCAATCTCTTCTTAAAATATATGGAAGAGTGTGAACCTTCATCCAAAGATAAATTTATACATTTGAAGCACATGGTAATGGAATTAAAAAAAGGCATACCTGCTTAAACCTCTCTTTGTTCAGCTCAGCCTGCAAAAGTCAGCCAGAGAAATCAACACGAAAACATTCATTTAATGCATAATGACGATCCATACAATTTTTCAACATGAATGGATCTTCTAGTAACTACTAGATTAAGGAGGAAAGGGAGTGAAAATCTCAAATGTTTCACCTCGTGTAATGATTGACTATACTATGCTTTATACATCATTGCAATAACTCTACATGTATGCTCAATCTTAAAAAAAATCATATATATAGTGAGGATCATATTCCCATACACGTGAGTCGGAAGAGGGTATTAGAATGAGATTTCTAAAGAAAAATGAAAAATCCGGGTACAATAACTACATGGTATTCATTAATCACAGTTCCAACAAACTATTCTGCACACTCTGATTGCATCAACTTACTAGCATAATTCAGAAAACATTTGAAATTTAATCAAACAATTAACTTAGAAGCAGCTGAAAATTCTTTAACACTATAGTTTAAGATCATATATTATATATACAGGGGCAGACGTACCTCGTCTCTGAGCAACCGGGTTTTCTCTTCTTCCAATTGTGTCACCAGGGATTCCAATTCAACCGTATAAGCCTAAGCATCAACAAGTAAAACAACACCAAGGGGAAAAAACAACTTTCAACATCCAGTCTAATTGCAGAATACAGGTTTCGAAGTTGGAAGAAAAGCAATTAAAATCTGATTTTCTAAGAAACCAAACAGAGTTTACAAAGGAGAGCCTGACCTGTTTGCGTTCTCTGGACCTAGCAGCAGATTCTCTGTTTTTTATCATCCTCCTCTGTTTCTGCATCGTCGCTTTATCCAAAGGCGGGGCCACCACGGCGCGTCGTTTTCCTCTAGCGCCTCCACAAGCTATCGCTACCAACCTCTGATGATCTACGCCGCCGTTGTTCCCAAACGCCGAAAACTGATTCCCGCCACCGTTGATAACGCCCTGGTCAACAGCATATACCCCTGCACCAACTCCCACCTGATTACCAACTCCTCTGACATCCTCTTCTCTGACCGCCCCAGCTTTCGTTAAAAAATCCTCCAAAGTCATCCCTTCCGGTGGACGATCCCCCTGTCTCTGATCCTCGCCACCGACCACGATCTGCTTCCAGACATCATCGACGGACTTGTTAGCGAGCGAGAAATCACCTTCTCCGGTTATGGAAACGCCGGCGAACTGCGGGTGCTCGTCGGGATTAGACGGCGGTGGCGATGAGCAGATGTTTTTTAAGAAATCGTCCATGTTCATGGAACCAAGAGGGTTCTGAGATTGGTTCGTATTATTCTGTTGGTTCTGAAGATCTGCCAAGAGAGTGGAGAGCGAAGAACATAGAGACGACTGACGTGGCAGGTCGTTATTCGTCTGTGACGTCGTCGGTATCACCTTAGAGGACGCCATGACAGCCCCTAGATTTTTCACAGCTTTTCCCCCGATTCCTTTGCTCAAAGTGTATCAATCTTGTTTTCGTTTTTCCCAATTGAAAAGAGAATTGGATGACAAAGTAGAAGAGCGCAGCAGTTTAAATAGAGTAAGGAAGAAGGGAGGAACCTGCTAGATGGCCGTGACTCTATATGACCAATCTGTAAAATGTATGTAAGGCTACGTTTGTTTTTTCCGCCCCTACCTTCCTTAGTTTATTTTTAAGTAATTATTTTTTATAATTTAAATATTTAATAATTTCTTCAATTTTGACTTAACGAATCATATATTTAATTAAAATTCATATATTATTTGAATATTTATTTCTGCAGAAAGAATGAAATAATTGAAATCACATAGTCCTTTTCATGTGTAACGTCCTTAACCCATACGTTGCAATTTGGCCGTGATTGGAGAAAAGGGAAGCTTAAGCCCTAAGAAATCCATTTGAAATTGAATGGTCAACTAGAACTCTTGCATGCATCAAGACAGTTTTTGTTTGTTGTTTAGCGCTTTTTTTCTTTACAGTGGAAAGAGAGTGAAGAAGACGCGCCATTGTGGAGGGAGAGCGAGCGTGTACTAGAAATAGCTTTGACTGTATCTGCCGTCCCCAGACGATACGGTTTCGCTTTCAAACAACCGAATCCAATCGAACCGTCTACAAGCTTAGGTTAGGACTCACTTTCTTCGAGCCGCCTTCTGCTATTGATGCTTAAGCTTTCTAACAATCTAAGTGCAATGCTATTGAAAAAGGTAAAAATCAATAATTAAATTAAATTATAAAAACAAAAAATAGAAATAAATAATTATATATGACAATTAAAATCCACACGATTTGTTGAGTTGTTGTCTGTTTACTTTGAATTTTATGTTTTTTCTATGTTTCATAATAAATTATTCGATTTTTAGTTTCATCTTTTTAATTGAATGGATCAAATTATTGATTTAATAATAATTATGATGCTATTAAATAAATAAATAAAATTAAATTTTTTCACATTTACTATATGAATAAAATAAAAGATTTTATATAAAAGTTTTCTTTTAAAAAAATCATTAAACGATAATCGTATATAAAGTAAGAAAAATTATATATATTATCTCTATTAAAAACGAGTTCAACTCATAGATAAATGGTTTACAGATATCCTATAATTATTTAAATAAATAAATAAATCAAAATAAACAATAGTTGAACGATAACTATTAATGATATTTGGTCAAAAGGAGTCGTGAAGTTGGAGCTTGAGAAAGATCATTTCGCTGAGAAATGAGATTAGGGTTTTGTTTGACGAACTAAGGGTAGTAAATACGAGAAACGTGTGGTTAGAAATCTGGAGAAAAGGTGATAGTGTCATGGCACAAACTGATTTGATTTCCTATGCACATTCCAAAACTTATTGTGTACTTGGCTTGGAGTTCGTAATAAGCTTTTCACTAAGGACTGGCTTATTAAGATGAGAATAGTTGTGGATGCCACGTGTTTTGTGTGGCGACGCGGAGGAAACTAAGAACCATCTTTTCTTCGAATGTCCTTTCTCGGTTGGGATTTAGAGGCATGCTTTGGATTTATATGGTTTGGATCGAGTGGTGCTTACTTGGGAGCAAGAATTGGAAAGGGTTTGCACCTAGAAAGACTAGTTGTTTCTTCTTCTCTTGCTCAAATTATCATGGAATGCTTGTATTTACTACATTTGGAAGGAGATAAATAAGAGGATTTTTGGTAGGATTGCTAGTGAGGTGCTTGATGTTTCAAATGCTACAAAGGAAACTGTTAGATGTAACCTCTATAGAAGCAAATTTGACAGTGTTGATAGTGTAAATTCTAGGCTCTATATAGATAGAGGCTTGCTTCACTTAGGACTGTTTGGTTCAAGTCATATAAGATTACCGAGGGAATGAAATCCACATTCTCCCGTTTGGTTGGACGGTAATCTCGTTCTCAGTAATGTTTTATTACCAACAGTGGATTTTTTTAGGTATATTATCGGGAATGTCATTACCCCATTCCCTTAGGTATTGTTGGATTACAGTCGTTTTGGACTAAAATGCCATTAATTTTTTTTCTCAAAAACATCATTCTTTTGTCATTGAATAATAAAAATTCTACGAATGTTAAATTACAAATTTATCCTTAAACTATTTTAGATTTACAAAAAATGTCTATAATTAAAATTTTATATGAAGTTCAGGGGTTAAAATAAAATTTTACCCTTTCATTAAACCTTTTTATATTTTCAATTTTGAAAAAAAATTATATAAATTTTATGAATTTAAATTTTTTAAAGAAAATATATAAATATCTTATAGTAATATTATAGTAGAATTCAACTTGTTAAAAAACAAATGTATAATAACGACAATTTGGTCAAATATGCATTCCAATAATTTTTTATTCCTTTAACCAAACACGGTAATCTTACATTCCTGCTAAACCAACCAAACACAAAATACAACATTCACAGTAATCCTATTCTCTGGTAATCTTTTATTCTCAGTGGTAATCTTACATTCCGTGAACCAAACACACCCTTGTGAGATACTCAAATTCTTTGTAACAACTTAATGTTGTTGTTCTTTGAATATAATACATGCATTACATCCGAAAAAAAGGATTACTAATAATTTTATAAAGATAGCACTTAATTTGTGTAATATTAAAAAAACTCAAAATTCACAAGATAATACTTAATTTGTGTAATATTAAAACTTACAATGACATAAATTGTTATTAGACCAAAAATCTTGGGAACACGGGATTATTATTCTTTAGTTCAGGCTCTACTTGATTAAATATTTAATAAATTATGCTATTTTTAATTTAAATATTTATTTTTACATGAATCAAAATAATACTAGACAAATTATATCGAATATAGAAATTTTAACATAGATCGGACCATTTTGAGCCCTCACTAAGCTCCGCCCTTGGTCAATCCTATCAATTCTCCTGTTACTAAGTTTGATCCATATAATCCTCCTATTAATGTTTAGAATCTCATCTAGACCTCTAACAAGGCCATTGAATTGCCTACCATTCCCCTTTCTCAAATAGAGTAAACAAAATCATTCTCAATTATCTTATGAATAAAAGAAAGTAAGAATTTATTATGAAGGCGTAAAGTGGTCCATTCCAACTCTCATCTTAACTTAGAGTTCTCCTAGACAAGTTGCACACGTCCATAATGACATCTCAAATATTCTTAGAGGAACGACATTAAAAACAAAGATGATTTCTAGTTTTTAGAGCATTACCACAAAGCCAACACTGTCCATCCACAATAGGACTCATTTGCAACAATCGACCTTTAATGAGAAGTCTACCGAGTACAGTCATCCATCAAATGATAGCATATTTTGCCGTACGAAGAGGGAACCGCAAAGTCCCGTGCCACATGAATTTAGCTCCTTCAGGTAAAATCGATGACCAAATATACTCGACTTTAGCAGTTCAAAAGTCATATGCAGAGTCAAATAAAGATTGCCTCTCTAACCTACCCAAGGTCTAGTATTTTTCTCAAGTTTCAGCTGACATTAACCTTGCTATTCACTCGTCAAAAATCATCCCTTTTGAAAACATAAACTTTAATCCAAGCAACTCAGACATATATGTCATCTATCAAAAATATTTCAGAGTAACAGCAAGATACAGGCTTTATTTCAACATTGGATATCTTTTACTCTAAGACCATCCTCTGACTTAGAGAGCAAATTTGCTTCCAGTTAACACGTGCACCTGCGGTAGTAGAGTTCTTTCCCTTCCAAAAGAAGAAAAAAGAAAACTTTGCACAAAGTTAATTAATCCTCCTAATAACTGCTTGTAGGAATACAAGTTACCTGCACTAATAATTAGTTATGCTAAACATGATGGCCTTTATAAATTTGGAGCCTGCTAACGAAGTTTAATTTTTTGCCAAAAATACACAATTATAATAATGTTAATTTAGAATTTATTCAATAAACAGAAAATTCATTGGCCACCACCCCAGACTAATGATCTCTTTCATCAAATCCGACCGACAACTAAAAACATTAAAATAATATATGAAACCAAAAAGTTTGTCGTCTTTTTTCGAGATAAAACGTTTGTTATTGTCCAATGTCCATTAAGGACAAAAAGTTTCATAACAAGGTGGCGTGTTAATTTTTTCCTATTTGAGAAATTTAAATATTAAATATTAAAAATAAAGTGTGAATTTAAATAAGAAAAAAACGTAAGTAAATCCAGAGTTTCACTTGGTTGAGTTCAATTAAACCATTCATTGAACAGAGAGAGAGAAGCTTTCCTTCAAAGACCCATGAGAAGACGTTCAAAGATCAAACAACTCGTGACTCCCACAAAAATTCCGCCGCTTTGGTCCATTTTTCTATATACATCAAGTGAAACATTGATGAAATACCGAGTTTGCTTTTACTTTTTATCATGTATATATATTTTATTTTTTATTATACAATCAATATGTTTGTTGTTATCGTATAATGAATTCGAACATAAAAACATCGTGTTAATAGGATAGATGGAAATACCAACAATCAATTGATTTAGTGGAACGAGACACTAGATTTCTTAAGTAAGGTTAGATGTTTGAATCCTGACGTTTGTGTATAGAGTAAATTGGGTTGGGAGGGTCACCTTCGCCTTTGTAGTACTTGATTTGGATTAGTTTATTAATGTTAGCATAATGAGTTAGTGAGCATCAATGATCATGCTCTAACATTGCTCGAGCTCCAGTGCATGTTGCATGGTTGCTGCATGGTGTTAGTAAAATAACTAATAGGTTCTAGAAGGCTGTTAGCAGCAGTTAAGGTTGTTAATGATTAGTTACAAAATATGTTAGGACTATAATAACTATGGGAGCTGTATATAAACAGAGGGATTGTAAACCATGAGTTGTATTCATTCTCTATTCAATATACAAGTATTTTGTGTTTCTTCGCTAGATATTTAACATGGTATCATTCGCAAACAGTCCTGATTTTGTTTTTCTTCCGCTGCATGGAGTTATTGCGAACGGAAATGCAGAGGAGAAGATCTCGAAGATTGCCACCGCCAATGGCATCTCCTGCGCCAGAGGAAACCTAGTCTCCTCCCAAATCAACCATTTTCAACAAAAGGAAGAGGAATATGGCTAATGCCTCACATTCCAATTCAGCTTCCGCTTTCTTCAATCTTCAGTCCTCACCGCCTAACAACAAAACTCTAACCACCATTTCCAATCTTAAGGAATTCACATCTTCTCAGTTGGAGGATATGAAGCGGAACTTCATCTATTGCTCTCACTCTGAGATTCTCAAGGATCTCGACGCCTCTCACTCTCGCCTCCACAAGCGCTTCAAGATCCTGACACAAGCATGCCAACAAGTAATGGAGGAAGCTGAAAAAGAATACAAGAAGATATCGGAAAAGATTGATAGCAACCATAAAGTAATGAAAGCCTCATATGCAGAATTCATGGCAGATGCTCAAGCCACTGCATCTCGTGTTTGTAAAACTTCCATTTCTGAACTTTCAAAGTCATTTGAGAAAGAAATTGATGATCTCCGCAACCGATTTGGAACGCCATCCGCTTATAATTGATTCTGAAACCGGAAGAAACTTCCTCTGGATCTTCTTTTTTGGTCTTGTATAATTGGAAGGGCAATGGAATTTTCCTGATGGGTAAATGGTGTAGCGTAGTATTGATTTTTTTCTTCTTTTTCGTGATATCTAGCTGTTACTATTCTGAAACATGTGGGCTTTATTAGTTCAAACAAGGGAAAAATGGATTCGTGTAGCTTAACTATTGATTAGGGAAAAAAAGTCTGTCAATGATCCTTGTATAAGAGGATGAAGAAGAAAGAAATGAAGGTGAGTAAGAAGAACGAAAGAAAGCATCGGCACTTTCGATTCAAGTGAACGAAAGGAAACATCGGCACTTTCGATTCAAGAAGAACGAAAGGAAGCATCGGCACTTTCGATTCAAGTGAACGAAAGGAAGCATCAACACTTTCGATTCAAGTGTTCATCTTTTCATCAAGAAGGTTGAATGTTAGAAATGAGTTGTAATTAGTTTTTAGAGCTTGTTGTAATAGTGTGTTCAAGGTCAGAAGAACATAAGAAGAAGAAGTAGAGGAAATGTTAGCATAATGAGTTAGTGAGCATCAATGATCATGCTCTAACATTGCTCGAGCTCCAGTGCATGCTGCATGGTGTTAGTAAAATAACTAATAGGTTCTAGAAGGCTGTTAGCAACAGTTAAGGCTGTTAGCAACAGTTACTATGGGAGCTGTATATAAACAACAGAGGGGTTGTAAACCATGAGTTGTATTCATTCTCTATTCAATATTCTAGTATTATGTTTCTTCACTAGATACTTAATAATTAATAACGATTCTGAGATCAAATTTATTATATCTCAGTAGCTTATTAACATTGAGCTTAAACAAACGTCAAATTTTTAACAAAAAATGACATATTTGGACATATGAATAGTTGAATTATTATTTTGTAACTTTTAATAGTCGAATGATCCTAAACCCTAAAACAATAACAGCTAAGGCCCCTTACCACTCAATTTTGCAATCAAAGCCTTAAATGATGCACAATGACCAGCAACCATCCACAGGTCGGTTTCAATATAAAGACATGGCTCGGTAGATGCTCAAGCAACTTTCTGGACTGGACCATCAGATCTGAAACCTTGACGGCGAGCTCTGCGACCACGTCCTCCACCTGCAATCAGTGATTTTACCCAAAATTGTTAATGTAATTATAATCAGACATTTTCCGAATCAACTTTCAAAGATGAGACAAATTACTTAAGATTTTGTCGATTGATAATATAAGTGACATTCCATACTGCATGAGACCAGCACTTGAGTGGCATGATGCTTGAACTAGGACACAAAAGGTTGTTTCTGTAATCTGCCAATGTTTCCTTTCGACCGCACCGTTCTGCTGGGACGTGTGTGGACAAGTGACTCGATGTTTAATGCCTAACTCACTCGACCTCAAGCGATTGTTTCGTTGAAATTTACAGAAGATATGATTCGGTTTTGCCTCATACTTGTCAATATACAGCCTCAAGCCATGCATTCTATACTCTTATAAGATGGTAGTAATTTCGTTAAATATCCTCCAAATTTACTCTTTGGGATTCCCTTAGTGATCTTAACTAGCCTCGAAAGAATCTCTTGCAAACGTAGATTCCTCCAAACAAAGAAATTACGTGCTCAGCTTTGAAATTCACAGCAGCATAGCAAGGACATTTGGTTCCTCCTGTATAAATAGAAGACCGATTTCTTTCCCTCAGCAATCACTTACCACTGGAACATATGGAGTACGCAAATACGATTCCAACCGAGAAACTCTTCAGAATAGCAAGAAAGTGGCAGAAGATGGCAGCCATCGGAAGATAGAGAATTAGTCCAGTAAAGATGGCAGCTGCATATCATTCTAATCAATCATCAACTGCTGATAAAGGCTGATTTGTAACATACACAATTGACGAGAGACATCCTCTGCGGCTTTTCTCGGCCGCAACCGCTGTTTCCTTGAGCTCTTCAAGATGTCTGAAGAGTTCGGACTACCGAGTGATAGGACTATAATGTTACCATGTGATTTAGTTATCGTGAATTACATTGTCTCCCTTGTGAAAAGTGGATCGGATAGGGTTTAGAGAGGAAAGTATTCAATTCCATTACTATCTATTATTATTCTAATTATATAACACGATTGGCCATTCGGTGTTGTGGTGTAGATGGTTATCACGTCAGTCTAACACACTGAAAGTCTCCGGTTCAAGTCCGGGCGACGCCACTATTACGTTACTTTTACTATTTTAATGTTTTCTTGATGCCAACACACTTTTTTTTTCTTATGATGTTGGGATTCATTCCATCAGTGACAGTAGAAACTAGAAACTTAGGAACATAGGGCAAAATCAAATTTCTGCTCTGAATCCATAGCAAAACATCGTCCATATAATATATATTGTGAATCCCGTGAAATCGGTACAGTCTTCCTTTTTTGGACATAGTCTTCCTATTTCAAGGCATCTATATTATGTTAAATAAGTGCAGAGAAAGATCCAGAAAATGAAACAAAATAAGATCCAGCAGCACAGGAAAGCATTAACTGGTCTTAATCTAGTATATGAAATTGGACATTTGTTCAGGATTCAGAGGAACTTTTTAGAGAACGGGAACAATATAATTAGTCCAGAGATTGAACCATGCAATCTGAACTAGCAACGTGACCTACAAGGAGGGTAGCTAGGCACAAACAAAATCCACATTGGACCTCTTCACCATCTGAGCACCATTTTCACCTTTGGGGAGTCTAAAAGAGTTCTCTCTCACAAGTCCTTGGCCCTCGCAAGATCTTATAACTATGATACCGTGTCCTTATTCATACCAACTTGTGTAACTTTAACGTTATCGGTTTCGGTTTATTGGTCACATGATTTTTCTCATGTGTGCAAAAAGTAAGATGGTGCTCGCATTTATATACCAGAACAGTAAGAGATTCATATCTCTTCACTAAAACAGTATAATGATGCTTCCTTATAAAATGATTCTGACCAAAAGATGTTTCATTTTCAGTTATTGTTCGTCTCTGTTCAGCTCTTTGCCTCTTTCAATGTCAGGAAGTTGACTTCCTTCTACTTCATGATATACCCAAAATATCAATTTCTGTTCTAAAATAAAACCCTGATCAGCAGCAGCTCTTTCAATGTCATGACATTATCTTGCATCAATTATTACATATTTAGAAGTTATTATAATTTAATCTCTGATAATGATAATGATAATGATAATGTTAAGCACAAAGATAGGCAATATAGAATCCATGGCTGAGGAGGCTCCATTCTGGTCCTTGACCAGCGATGTCTAATGCAAAAGCTATAGCAGTTGATGTTGATGAACAATCGGTGGCTCAAAAAGGTTATTTTTTTCATCTACACCACAGATAAGAAATGCCATCTCGCGCCCCTCAGCAATAACATATTTGTTGAACTCGTAAAGCTTTCTGATGAAGAGTTTGGTATATCAAGTTGTGGTCCTATGGTGTTGCCGTGCGATTCGACGACCTTGTTTGAATACATAGTCTTTGTGGTTCAAGAAGGGTTGGATAGACACCTGGAGAAACCTCTGCTTAGTTCCATTTCTCCTAGACGCTACTCTGTTTGCACATCTTTCAATCAAGGACAGACACGCCAACAGTCGCTTGTTCCTGGACACTGAACAACGTACTGTTGAAAAATGTAAATGACTGAAACTACCGTATAGTATAACACATTCAAACTCCATGTGGCAATAGAAAAAAACTAAAAGGAAAATCAATTCACGATCTATCTCTTTCCTACCATCACATGGTTTTGCATCCCTCAGGTCTTCATTGAGAACAACATGGAAGAGATTGTCCCCATGGATAAAGTGACAGGAAGGTCATGAAATTGATTGGATTTGAGCAGAGACAAGGTACAGTTGGAAATTTGTTTGAGGGAGGGTTTCTTATTACTATTTAAAAGTAATTAATCTTATACAAACAAGATCCTAAAAATGTAAGTTGAAATCTGTGATGAACTAATCATGAGTCAAATTGCAAGAGTGGACCATATTATTGTTAAACCACTTGGCAGACAGATAAAGGTGTCTGCATGCACTTCTTTGCTCCACGCAAAAGCAGGCAAGCCCCCTTGCAGATTAGCCCTCATATCTGCCATCACATGGCTTTGTTTCCTATGAATGAATAGTTGAAATCTGATTATTCATTAAAGGGAATGTCTGTCTTTGACCTTGTGATTATATATTCATCACAATTCAATTGCCTCATGTCAAGCACAACAGCTGCATTTAGCAATTGAAGACCTCAAAATCCCTCTCTTTTTTTCTTTCATCCGAGTCTTTTCTACTAAACTAAGTAAAGCAAGACGATCAGTGCCAAGAAGCTTATCAAGTTAGCAAGAAAATGGCCGAAAACTGGCTTCAATCAGGAGAAAAGTAATCACATTACCAAGAACCACCATGGATGCGGAAACAAACAGTTGCGATACATCATCGTCGGTCGAAAAGGGTCACTTTGTTGTACACAGTGTGGATCAGTAGCGCTTTGTGCTTCCTTTGGAATATCTAAAGTACAGAATTGTGATGGGGCTATTCAACTTGGCAGAAGAAGAGTTTGGACTACCAGGCAATGTGGTTCACATCTTGCCTTGCAACGCAAGCTTTATGGAATATGTAATTGCTCTCATAAAAAGGAAACCAAGCAAAGAAGTGGAGAAAGCATTGATCCTTTCTGTAGCCACTGGTCGTTGTTCATCGTCATATCTTTATCAGCAAGAAATGATCCTTTCTGGAACATCACAACTGTTGTTTCTCATGCTTAGTCTCTCTTGAACCTACACAGGCAACTTACTTCATATCTGCAATATTACAACAACAATTTCATAACTAATTAAAAAGACAGATACTTATTTCAATGAAAGCATGCAGATAAAAAGTCGCTTGTTTGTTGATTTTAAGCAAATTGGCTTTGAAATAACTCCGTGTGCCAAGGGAAAAAACTAATAGGACCACACAATTTAAAGTAATTAATCATATGTGAAGTGGATCCTAAACGAAATCTGTTATCAAATCATGAGTCAATGTTATTGCAACAGTGGACCGTGTTGTTGTTAAACCACTTGGCAGATAGGTGGAGATGTGTCTGCATGCAGTTGTATGCGCTCCACCTTGATGGGTTAACCATTCACTTGAAACAGGTAGGTCTCCTTTCAGATTAACCCTCGTATCTGCCATTACAAGGCTTTGTTTCCAATGAATACCTGAATTCTAATCATTCAATAAGCGTACTGTCTCTATCCTTGTGATTATATATATTCATGGAAGTTGCATTGCCAATAATTTCAATAACAATTTTATCAGCAACGATCTCATCTACACGGCGTTGCAAGTTGCAACGGTGGTTGCACGCAAATTGACACCCTGATTTTCTGATTTCGACTTGCGTCTCTAGAATCATCTAATCTGTTTAAAATTTTTAAATTAGGAGTTTTTTATTTGATGTAACTCATTTTATAAAAGTTTAATTAGGAGTAAATTATTTAAATTATATCTTTTATTGATTTTATATTTTACAAGTATTTTTAGTTTAAGTATCTACTGATTCAAAGTTATTATTAGAGGTGTCTGGTCATTATCAAGCTTAAAAGAATTTGTTATCCAATCAACGTTTGACATATAACATGTTTCTTAATTTCTTTTAATTTTATTTATTAAAAGATAAATTAAAATTATTTTAAAAAATCTTAAACCAATTTTCAAAATCTCTAAGCTCAAATCCCTAAAACCATTCGTTACTAATGAATTAGACACCATCAATCGATAATGAGGTTTAACAACGAATAAATGAACGAGTGTTTGACAACAACAGTGGCAAATGACGACAAAAATGGACTTTAAGATTAATAATTTAGGTATGAGAAATTTAGGAATGTATAATTTGTGGAAATTTAAAAGATTGAGATGATAACAGGGGATTACCAACAATGATAGTCCAATGAAGGGTGGGTGAGTGTTCAATAACAATGGTGACGGCCGACAACAGTAATGAACTTCCGGATGAAAGATTTTTAGAAAATATAATAAAACTAAAAATTCTAGAGATTTTTAAAATTTTAAAATTTAGGATATTTTAATTAAAAAAAGTTAATATTAATAAATAAATAATATCACCAGTCAAGTAATCACTGGTTGACAGAAATACCTTAAAATAATAACAATACTAAACTTTATACCCCTAAAATCAACAAAAGATCTTTTAAGTAATCGATATACTTCAATTTATATTTGTGTAAATAAGTATTTTATTCAACATTAATATAAATAATGTTTTTCCTTAACTTAATATTAAGAAAATATCTAAAAGAAGAATTTACATCTATATAAATAATTTAATAATAAAATGAAACAATCTAATCTTTAATTCAGTTCGAGTTCTTTCGGGTAGAAAATTCACATTCAAGCTTATAAACAGGTTCGCATTTGAGTCTGGACAAAAGAAGCATCTACCCAGGGCCCAAATTTAAAGGTTCATATATAATTAGAAAAAATTAATATACTTATTTAGTCATTCATCTTTTATTCCATTTTTATTTTGATCATTCAATTATTATCAAATTATTCCATTTTTATTTTGATCAATCTTTTGAAAATCAAACGTTTTGATTGTCAGTCTAAAATAAATTAACGACAATGTTAATGCAGTATTTTTAAATTATTTATTTAATTCCCATGTAAATATTCTTTTATTAGTTTTTACAATATGAAGATGACTGAAATCGAACCCTAAATTTTTTTGAAAGAAGGCAAACCCTAACCCTCTTAGATCAGCTTGCTTTGCGTGAATAATTAGATATTCAATAAAATTTCTTGATGTTTTCTATTTGAATTTAATGTATTTATTATACAACTTTTTAAACATATGAAAAATATAATTTATAAGTAAATTATTTTTAAAATTCTTACTATTCAATTTTATTTACAATAATTTTATTGGAGGCCTAATTTCTATATTCACCCATGGGTCACCAAAATCTTAAAAACGAACCTGCTTATAAATCCAAGCCGTTTTGCAGATTTTTTTTATAGGAATGGAAGGCCTCGTTAAAAACCCATTCTTGATTTTGATAATAAGCTCCTTAATCAGCGAAAGGTAGAAAAGAGTGCCTTGTATTTTATTAATAATGAAAAATTACATAAGATACAACCAATACACCAATAACAGTACATAAAACTTAAAAACACCCCCTGCCATTAAAGTCTTCACTGTAGACCAGAAAACCACAGTTGAATCCTAACAATCAACCTATCCCACTCTTAGCTAGATTGTCTGCCTCCCCATTTTACAGATTCAATACCCTTTGATCTGATAATTCAAATCAATGACTACAGCTTGAATACTATAAAATAGAATTTCCTCTATTTTCAATTTCAAACGATAATATAAATAATCCATAAGCTATTTGTTGAATTATGTCCCCATCAGCCACAAGTTAAAACCCAAAGACAAGTGAACTTATGTACCCCGCAGCAAAATCTTACACATTGCAGGCATCATAACTTAAACCTACTCCTACTCTCTCTGTCTCAACCTTGTTCTTGTATCTTAGAAAATCCTATGTTAAAAAACCGGGTAGAACTCATCAATGTGTGCAGGATTGAGTCAGTTGTAACTTATTCCGATACACTAAGACGAACGGCGACACGCACACTGTATCCTATCCTTTCTTTTAAAAAACAAATTGCTTGTATTTTCATCGTAATATTCATAAAAAGAAGGGTAAAATACGCAATGCATTCAAATTTTACCAAGTCGGTTAGAACTTTGAAGAGTCAAAGCTTCTCCGCTGGAATCCATTGGGCTCAATCCAGATGATGCAACACCATGAGTCCCATTATGAGAGTTTAACGGGCTAATGACTGCATTCGTCTGAGAATTTTTGCAGATGGTTTCAATTTCGAGTACTGCAGGAAAAAATTGTAAAAAAACTGTTAGGAGATGCAACACGAGATTTCACCATGAGTAAACAAAGAATAGCAGAATCTAATTGCATAAGAAAGCTTGATTTTGGAGAAGTAGCTACCTGCTCAAGAAAGGAATTAATCTCCTCTTCTGTAAGACCATCATCATCTCCAGCATTCTCTTCCCAACCAAGGGAACGTAAAAATGCAGCCTCTTCCTCATCAGGATGAAGGAAAACATCAGGCCTAGAATGCCCATCTCCATTGCTAGAACAGTGATGAGGCTCGGTATAAGCATTTCCATTCAGGGATATTTCACTCCTACTGTCAGTTGGCAAGTCAGCATTTGAGATTTCTGGTTATAGAACACCTGCATCCATTAGAGTAACAGAAGAGCTGGACTCTTCGGTGCCAAGTTCATCAGGCTTCTCGGAGACAGGTTGTGACATAGCAGGGCTGGGATCAAGGACAGAAGAAGCAGATTTAGTGGTAGATTTCTTCTTTAGAAGGTTGAAGAAGTCATTCCTACTCTGGGCTTGCGCAGTTGCTCTCTTCTCTGCCGTTAACCACAATTGAGTCTGATTACACTCAGCAGTGGCAGACCAGGGGCTGTTGCCTGAACTCCTAAAGGGAGCAGATGCAGCAGCTGAACAAGTGACGCTTCGTGGACTATTCACAAGTTTGTTGCTTCCATTAGTAGGACTCAAGTTATCCTTTTTGTTCACCAAGGAGACACCATTTGATTCTCGTGATGGTTTGAATATGGAAAGCCTGTTCTCATTAGAAACTTTTATACTGTCAGATCTTGAAGTTCCGCCATGTGTGGAGTTAAAAGAGACTGAAGGATGCAGCTTCTGTCCAACTTTAGGTTTCGATTTCTCTGAAGGACTGACCACCTATTAGACAACAGGAAGTGAATACTCTCACACACATAAAAGTAAAATAAGGAACCTTAAAAATCTTATCATAAGTATAAATTCAATAAGCAAAAGAAAAGAAGAAAAAAAGAAAATTAGAATAAGATTTCTAACACGGTATAAAATATAAACCAAATATCTCCATTTCCCCCCTTATTCCCTTTGCAGTCACTTCATCTCTATTCAGTAAAAAGTTAATTTACAATACCTTGACCAAACCCATGCCACCTCTGCTGCCACCAGCATATAACCCAATGTGTACTTATAATTAGAAAACATACACACAACAAAAGCTTAACAATAATAGCTCACCGAACTTTTAGGCGTTGATATTGTCACCAAGGGAATTAGTTGCCTTGACTGTTTGATAGCCAGCTCCTCAAGCCTTTGAGTTTCAACGTTTAACTAGAAGAAGGAACACATCAGATCTTATTTTTCAGCACTAATATAGTTTTTAATGAATAAACTAAGTACAGAAGAATTGTTCAAGTTACCATGGGAGGTGTACGAGCACGAGAAGGCCCCTGAGCCACTGCTTCAGCCATATTAAGACTCATCGTTGAAATTGGAGTTGAGCCTGAAGAAGCATTTTTTGAAGAAACTGCCACACCTCTGCCACTGCTTCCCACACCCACAGAAATGTTTGCAAGAGCTGATGTCCTGCCATAACTGCCAGTGCCAGGTGGGGTCCCCAAGGGAAAGCTCTGCCCAGGAATACTCAAACCAGGAGATGAAACACTTCCTATTTCAGACCCAAGTTGTCTTTCTTCAGCACCAAGTGAAGGAAAATCATGTTCGAACGCAGATTTATTACTCAAGTCAGGAGATGAAATGCTTCCTATTTCAGACCCCACTGGTTTTTCTTCAGCACCAAGAGATGGAAAATCACGTTCAAATGCAGATTTATCATGGACAGCTGTGCTAATTTTACCATTACCACTGTCATGATGGCTTTTTCTGTTGCAACTAGATTCATTTGTCGCTTTCCTTGGCCATGTGTCACTGCGCTTGCGAGCTATCATAGACTGTGAACGCCGTAAGACACCCTTCTCAGATATGCTTGGCAGCATTTTATCAAGAGAATCAGAATTGTTTCGGTTCCTATGGTCGCTGAGAACGGCATTCTTCCGATCATGATAACCATTAGTAAAATTTTCCCAATCCCTTTCCCGGTTACCTTCAGCAAAATTGCTATAAGCCAGTGAGTCAGAAGACCCTTTTCTACTATAACTCCTCCTAGAATAGACATAAGAGGCCCTATCCAAAACAGATGCCCTACCTATATCACCATCACTGTCAACAGACAACTTATTTCTGGCATGCTTCAAAGCAGAATGATTGTCTATAGGGGAAAAATCAAAGATTAGAATATATAAATTTGTTTTCGATTTTGCTTGAAAAGAACGACAAGCAGATAAATATCAAATTTTGCTAACTGTCAAGAGTGCTATCAGAAACTAGGCAAACAAGTTGCAGGCAACTACAGAGAAAAAATCAACTTCTAGAGACACACCTCTAAATACAAAATAAAGAAGAAACTCTAAAATAATTACAATAATGTTCTCTTTTTCAAGCAAAATGAAGATGTGCATTTCGAAATATAAGGCAATTAAGTAGAAGTTGATTTTTCTCTTTTTCAAGCAAAATGAAGTTGCAGGCAGCTACATAGAAAAAAAAAACTTCCAGAGACATACCTCTACAAGTAAAATAAAGAAACTTAAAAATTTTACAATACTGTTCTCTTTTCAAGTAAAATGAAGATGCACGTTTTGAAAAATGAGGTATGTACTATAAATCTAACATTTTGAGTGCTATAGGCATCCTTGAAGTACTATCATCAAATCTCTCCTAAAGATATCAACCAACAGAGATTTATTAAAACCATAAATGCAAGAAAGAAATAATACACCCTGAAGATATAAACTAAAATTACCTGAATGTGAAGACGATGATGTAAATTGGTGAATTGAATTGCCACTACCAGTAAGACTTCCCCCGCTCTTCAACCATTGTGGTATCAATGAAGGCTCAGTTCTTTCCATAACTCTTGCAAAACATTATCATAAAGAGAAAAAAAAATCCAAATTCTGTTTCTCTATTTCCAGGTCAAACTTCTCAATTCCCAAAAATTTTATGTTTCCTTAAATCCAGTTTCACCCATCAAATACCTTAACGTGAACCTCAAAGTTTCTAACTATTAGAACCAAATTTTTGCAATTTCAGAATTCTTTTCTTTACACTGTAACTAAGTTTGTACTTCGTGTCCCTCCCATACAATATACACTTTCAAGATTATCAAACCAGCCAATCAAGTAAAAAATTTAAAGAAATTATAATCATGGCATTGCTGAGTAATAAAATATACTTGAAGATTTTCCAAAAATTCTTCTAAAAAATGGTAACTCTCTAAACAAGAACTTCTACAATTCAAATGACCCGGTTATTTTCCCCCCTTTATATTCCTATTCCAATTTCAATATATGGTATGCTTCTAGAGTTCTTCAAAACCAGACAAAAACAAACTATGAAGACCAAGACCTCCACATACCTATGATGAACAAGAAAGCACAAAACGAGACTGCTCTGAATGAAGAACCTAGACCTAATATGGTAAATGACCAGAAAATTTGAACCCAAAAATAGTCCTACCCATCAAATACCTTAACGTGAACCCTCTAAAAAAACCCGGGTTCTACTTTTTCTACTATGAACAGTTCAGTAACAGAGTGAAAGGAAAAGAAAATTCTCAGATTATCATAAAGATCATCAGTCGCTAACCATCTAAATCAGATTAAAAAAAGTAAGAGGATATTAATCGTACGGATCTCGAGGCTTCGTCGTCCCTCAATTCTCTCGCGGTTCGCTATTCAGTGAATCAAATTCCAAACTATCAGAAAGCCAGGAGGAAAAATAAGGAAGGAAAAGCGTTAGTCAAATGAACAGCTTAGTTCGCTAAACGGCCGTAGTATTTTCTGATGTGAACTTGCTGAGAGGAAGATGAGAAAATAGTTTCTAGAACTGAACCGATGCAGATGAAATAGAGAAGAAGGGTGCAACATTTTTTTTCGTAATGTAAAAAATGGGTGACAAAATAAAACTTAACTTTAACTTTAAGTGTGTACAGTATTTTTTTTAAATAGGTGTTTAATAATTTTTACGTTATACTTTTTTATGTTTATATTTTTGAAGTTATATTTTTAGGTGTTGAATTATAATAGACATTAAATTTTGGTCATTCGCGACGTATGTCGAATTTATAGATTTTTAAAAATTTATATTTTAAAACACACTTTAAAATTTTGTTTAAAAAAACTCATTTTTTCTAGAATTATAAAAGAATCCTTAAAAACTTAATTTTAATCCCTTTAACACCTCCAGTTGATCGAAATTCCAATAATGTGAGACCGATCAAACAACCAACGGTCAAAATCCTTGCTCCAATCTCTAATTGTGGCACAAATAACTCCTTTAGTGAATTACGAAATCTTTTTTTTACACGGTCAGTGAATGTTCGGCTAGTCGTGAAAATTAAGGGTTTCAATCGTTGAGTGTTTGGTCGGTCGACCGATTGATGATGTTGGTGGCGGTAGGCAGTGTTAAGGGATTGAAATTATGGTTTTCAGGATTTTGGGGTTTTTTAAAAATAAATTTTAAGATTAAGTTTTTTTAAAATAAAATTTTAAATGCATAACCCGTGTCACTTAACAGTCGAATTTAAAGACTATTACAGTCCTGATACCTAAAAATATAACGTTAAAAATATTAAATACCTAAAAATATAATAAATAAAACTTTAGACACCTATTTTTAAAAAAATTACTTTAGATACTTAAAGTTAACTTTAGTATACTTTAAACATTTAAAGTTAACTTTACTATACTTTAAGCATTTATTTTTGTATTAAGTCATTGAATAATAATATAAAAATGATAAATGCAATTTCTATGTACTTTCAAGTATAAAACTACACTTAAAAAAAATATTATTTTGATTTGATTTATATTTTTAAATAATTCAAACATTCCAGAGGAAATTGTTATAAGGTGTTCCTTTCCCCTTATCTATTCGTCCTTTGTGTGAAGAGGTTGGGTCACGACATCCATTATGTCATGGATGTCGACTTTTGGGAACCGATGAGTCTCACTCGTCATGGTCTCCCTCTCTCGTTTAGTTTTCGCTAATGAGTTTTTGCAGGGCCAATTCTAATCAGGAAACCTTCTCAGAGTCACCCTTGATGAATTCAGCAGGTTTTCAGGTCACAAAGTGAACTCGAATAAAACTCGGGGTTTCTTCTATGTTGTTGAAGAAGAGCGAGCCGATAATCTTTGTTCCTCACTTGATTTTCAACATTTAACGGACTTCGAGAATTATCTGGGCATGCCTCTTTTTCATAAAAAAGTCATCAAAAGTACCTTTCAATCCATTATTGACGAAGTACTGCATACACTAAGTAGATGGGTTGCAACGAATCTCTCTTTTGGCTAGATCGACTCTCCTCATGATCACAAATAGAACAAATAGCGAGTCGGCTTATTTGGGGTGACATATAACGCCCCTTAAAACTTCGCTTGTCAATTGGGGTTATTATTGCCAAGGACCCGTTTGGATCAAAGATTTTAGGATTCATATTTTTTTTTCCTGATTAAGGATACTCATATTTGATTGGGTATTCTTTCTCAAGTGAGGATAATATTTATTTCCCAAGTATGTTTATTCCGAGAATGTTATTCTCACACACCCGTTGAATATTCTTTTATTCTCGTGTGCTAAGGGCTAAAATACCCTTATTTTTTAGTTTGTCTCTGTGATATCTTCTTCTTCCCGTGATAGCTTGCCTCCCTAAGAGAAAAATTTATCGTTCTCATGGTAAGATTTATTCTCCTCTCCCTTTCTTTACAATATTTTACTTGTTTAATTTTTCTAGAAAAATTATTGTAGTCGATTTAAGTTAACCTCGAGCGATAGTTTATTATAGTTGTTGTTTTGCTGGATCCATTCTGTCATTTTTTCATAATCTTGTGCAGTATTTGAGCTTTAATGGAAGATTGAATAGTCATAAAGAGGGGTTGTAAACTGTAAAGTAAAAGCAAGGATATTTGATAGGGTCCAGTTATATTCATAGTTGAATTAATTAGACTCTTAAACCGGTTATCTTCTCCCCCTTCTATTTTTCCATCACCTTCCCCAGAAAACCGTCAAAACTCCACCGACCCATGCCCTCCTCTCCATTGGCTCGCCGACGAGCTCTCGGTCTGTAACCCAGACCGTCAATGGCTCCCACCACTTCACAATCAAGGGCTATTCCTTAGGCAAATGCATGGGTGGATCGATCTCTTATCGATTTCTTATCGTTCTTAGTCTTAATCGATATTTGTATTTTTTTAACGGGAAACTTTACAGTTATACCGGCACAGGTAAGTTCGTCTTCTCTTCTGTAAGTCACATTTATATATATATTTTAAATATTTTCTGAGAATCATTCAAAACAATAGTCGTTGAACCCTGATCTCTGCATTTTTCGTTATTCTTTTTTTCCACATCAATTAGGGTGGATCGATCTGTTGTTCTTTCTGGCATTAATGCTAATTTGTTAATTTAAATGCCTGTTGATCGGTTCGTCAATGTTAGAAGGGATCCTGTTTTTTCTTCATCAAATGCTATGCTGTTAATCGGTATTTGTATTTTTGAATGTGTACGCGCTTCATGAGCTAGATCCGCTGCTTCTTGTTACATTTTTACTCTTTGATCAAGTTTGAATTGGTTGTATCTTGGTGATTCGTGTTAGTTTGACTCAGCGGTTATCTACTGTATGAGTTTTAACTAGCAAGATCGGAAATTTATGTTCTGTGCGTAAGAATCTCATGTATTAAATCGAAAGTGAAACTTAGGGATGGGAGGAACTATATATGGTTCTTTTGGGCTTAGTTCATAAATAATTTTGTCATTATTTATTTGCTTTATGCTAAAAAGAGTAATTTCTCATGTGTTCGATAGTGTTGCACATTTATTATAAACTGTTCTGTTCTTGCTGAAGCCTTTTCATTATGATGTGTGGGATCTAAGTGAAAAGTTGTGCATGGGTAGTGATTACCTTAAGCCAGTTATACTTTTAATACTGAAAGCTTTCTACTGAGAAGGAGATAGGTTAATCAAGAATAAGACAAAAGAAAACATATGCCCATGGTAGAAGTTCAGTCTGTTTTGTACAAAATAAATGCAAGTGATTGAATTTCATTATCAACATATTTGTTATGTATTTTTAAAGCTTCTGTAATGATATACATTCTACCTTTTTAATATGCTGCAACCTGCCATGTTGGAATTTGATTACCAAATAACTTAAGGTGGTTTATACTCTAATTTTATAGATAGCAATTTTGTTGCTTGCTTCTGCAAGTGTGAGCTATGCTTTACATGCATGGTATATTAATTTGTGAATAAGGTTGATATCTTAGTTACTACTTGCTATTTAAAAATTCAAATTATTAATTAAGCAATTAAAATCTGTTGATCTAAATGAAAGAATTGTTAATTAGTTGACTTGGCATTCATATGACTTAAAGGCCATGTCTTGTTGGCACTGCATGATCACATGTCAAACGGTGGCAAGAGCTATTGCCATCTAAAGATGATCCCTTGAATTTAACATTGTATTTTTTAATCAGAGAAATCATTAAATGACGATAGAATCAATAGAAAGATGATATTTCAAGGCTTTTATTTGACCTCAATTGTGAAGGATATTTCTGGTGCTGGAATTCTGTTTACACCTGTGCACAAATGCTTCAAAAGCACGAGGCCAGTTGGGGGATATTTTGCCGAGTCAGTCACTGATCTTGGAGAACTGCAGGCATTTGTCCGTATTTTTGGCTGTTATGGAGTTGATAGACTAGATAGGATGATGAAAGAGCACACTGCTGCCCTGTTGAATTGCATAGACACATAATTACGGTCAAACCGTGAATTGTTAGAAGCAGTTGCCAGCAGCATTCATTTTGGTGACAGAATAGAAAGGGAGGCTTGTTTGAAGCAAATTATGGATTTGGACACAATAATCGGTTTTTGCATTGAGGCAGGACAGGCCTTGGCTTTTGATAAACTTTTAGCTGAAGTTTCTGGTGCTGTGCTCAAAGTAGGTGCACCTCTAATTTATTCATTGCTTGCCGGAGTAGTTAAGCATATACCTGAAGAAATACCCGAGAAGAGGGAAATAAGAAGAATGAGGGGGTCGCAAACAGTGTTGCTCTTGCTGGTGATCATGACTCTGAGTGGGTTAGATCTATTTTGGAAGAAGTTGGAGGTGCTAATGATGGGTCCTGGAGCTTGTTGCCTTATTTATTTGCCACTTTCATGACATCAAATATCTGGAACACAACCGGATTCAACGTTGACACGGGGGGTTTCAATAACAATATCCATTGTTTGGCAAGGTGAGTGTCCTTTCTGATTTTCTTATAATTTAAAAAGTAGGAAAAAAACTTTTGGTCGCCATGAGTTCTGGAGACCGAAGCATGTTATATTACAAACTGAATGCCTTGTAGCTAATATGTCCTAAATCAAAAAAAATTATCAGGGAATTTATTTGATTTGTTTATTTGTATGGTGACATTGTTGATTATAAAAGAATATGCCAAACTACCATAACTACTGAAATGCAAAACTTCAATTCATGCGCCAGGCTTTGGAACTATTCTTAAGTATAATATTTTACGGAATTCTCTTCCCGAATGATTGTTACAAATAGAACAAATTCCAAACATTGATTTCCATTATATGTTTTATGCTTCAATGTTCAGCCGATCCATTTGGTTTCTATCATATGAGACATATTCAATAAAAATATTTGTAAGAATCCTTTATTGGGATGATTAAATCACATAAGATAAAGTCAGCTGTGATTAGAAAGCACTGTTAGCAGAGTGCGAACCAATTTTGAAGCAAGGGGCAACTTGATTTTTACACCAACTTTGAGATTTGTAATGGATGGTGAAATGCCTCATTATCTGCTTGCAAAGGATTTGATTTTGCAGGAAAGATCGTAATATAAATTCATGAGATAAATAATAATTATAAAGTATCCAGAATTAAGTATAAATATAAAAGATAAATAAATAAATTATTGTACATAGAAGATATAATAAGTATTATATCTTAGATAACAAAAATAATTTACAACTTTTTATTATTATGAATATCTATGATAAATTATTGTATGGAAGAATGTAAACCTTGTCGATTGAAAAACACAAGAAACCTTCCAGTGAATGCGTCACGTATGAACCGAATCTAATTTTCACAATGTAAATATTTAGTTAAATGTTGATGTAAAATTTTAATATATTTTTACATAAATTATGTAAAATTTAATATTAATTAAAATTAAAATAATACATGATATATTTAAATACTCAAGTAATATATTATCAACAGATAAAATTTTTATATAAATAATTTTTATTTAAATATTTAGAATTTCACTTGTTAAAAAAATATAAAACAAAAACAATTTGGTAAAATATACATTACATTAATCTTTTATTCCTTTAACCAAACATTGTAATCTTACATTCCTGCCAAACCAACCAAACACACAGTAATGTAATATTCCCAGTAATCCTATTCCCTGGTAATTTTTTATTTCCACTAGTAATCTTACATTCTGTGAACCAAACGCACTCTTAAAGTATGGTGCTCTGGGAATTCGGCCCCTAAGACCCCAAAATGAGGTTTTTCTCATTAAATCGGGGCATACATTTTCTTACGCGACCGGACTCTTTTTGGATGCGTATTGTTCAAGCTAAATACAAAATTACGGAAGTGCTGCCTCGACATATTGAAGCTAAGAATGGCTCTTTCGTTTGGAAATTCCTTTCTTGAGTTTGGACGTACATCCGTGATAATGTTTGTTGGTCAATAGGTGATGGGCGTGGTACTAATTTTTGGATATATTCTTGGATTCCAGGCATCAATCCTTTTGGCGATTCCGTTAGCTCAGATAATATTTTGAATCCTCAAGCTACCGTTCGCGATTTTGTGTCTAGTGAAGGCGAGTGGAATACTAACCTTTTGCGTCAAATCCTTGATGAAGACATTGTTCAACACATCATGGTAGTCCCCAGTCCGTGCGATCCTTTGGGTCATGATCAGCCAACTTGGCGTAGGGAGCAAAACGGGAAGTGCAGGTAAAGTCAGCCTTCATCTTTATTTGGTTGGCATGAGATTACGACGGCCCCCAATGCATTAGGCATTTTATTTGGTTAGTGCTAGACAAAAAACTGAAAACGAACGTTGAATTGGTGAAGTATGGACTTTCCTCTGACCATCACTGTCCGGTCTGTAGAACGGAAGAGGAATCAATCATTATGTGCTGCGTGATTGTCATTCAGCGCACTCTCTCTGGACTGAGCTTGTCCCTAGCCATTTACTGTCGATTTTCTTCTCTTCTTATACCTTTGATTGGCTTTAGTCTAACTTAACTATAAATGCAGGTCTGGACAGGAATGATTTCCAACGGAGACATATTTTCGGGGCCCTTATTTGGAAAATGTGGAAGCAACGAAACAATTTTGTTTTTAATGGTTAAATATTCTCGTCGATATCCATTATACAGGCATCTCGATCGTGGGATGTTCATTAGGGATATTCTTCTTAAAGTGCTATTCTTAAGGAAGATCAACAATAAGAAAACGATATGGAATCCGCCACAAGCTGAAACTTTCAAGCTCAACACGGATGGCGCTGTAAACACGAGGACAATGGAGGCTATCGGACTTTCAATTCTTAAGCGGTGATGACCCATGAAGTTGCGATTGTTAGGTGGATTCGAAGCTTTCTCAACGTACAATGGAACATTACAATTGAATGTATACGTCGAGAAGCCAGCAAACTCGTTGATGCTGTGGCTGTGCTTGGACATGGTAGAACGATGGGACTTTCTCTATTGCAGAATCCTCCAAACGAAATCTAAAGTATCCTCATGGCTATTCAAACTTCGGTAATACAGTGTTTTACCTCTGTAACAAGAAGAAAAAAGAGTTGAGTTACTCAACCATGTATAATATGTATATCACGTATGCAAAAAAATACGATAAAATATATATGTATTATATATGGTTGTAGAAAACCATTTAAATTATTATAAAATTCAGTTTAAATTGAAATTAAATAATATAATATTATAAATATTACAATTAAATTTCAATAGAAGGTCGAACAATTTGACTCAGCCCAAAAAAAATTTAAATGAAGTGTAAGTTGTAAAATAAAATTCGTCAACTTGAATAATTCAAAATTTTTTAACTTGATTCGACTCGATTGGATCGAACGCTCACTTTTACTTCCTTCTTATGTTCTTTTTCTTAATTCAAATGTTAGTACTTAAATTGTATCTTTTCCTTATACTATTAAAAAAGTTTGTTTTTCTTGAATTGTTTAAATCATATATTTTATTATAAAATAAAATTTAATAAAAAAAAATTCACACACGTTAGAAAATATTATGCAAACTTTATCATAGGTCACATTATTACTGAATCATGTTATCATTAATGTCATTAAAAAATTATTTTTAAAAATCCTATTTTCGTCGTTTTCCTTGTAATTCTTTTTTTCACATACAACGATATTAATTTTAGTGTTGATCGTCAATCATTTGTTTTTTTTATTTTTCTTCTATTTTATATTACATATTTGTTTTTTTTTAATTTTCAATAACTCTACCTTTATGATTCATTTTTGTTTGCCTTAATGACATGTTGTTGTATGCATTTATGACACATTTTTCTTTGTCGTTTAGCCTATTTTTATTTTTTCATTGATTTTCTTTCGTTTATTTTTAGGGTTAAATTGAATGATCAATATGACATTTATCTATTATTATGTTGATTTTTGTATTTTAAACTCTTGAATTAGACATGAATGCACGACTTACATTCGTAAATAATTTTAATTAACTAATTAAAGGGATAACAATGTTTAAACAAATATATTTGCACGTCTTTATTTTAACGTTGTTGCCATATTGATAAATGAAATGAAATTTTGATGTATTAAATTAAACATTAAAAAATAGAGATATCATATTAGAAGATTTTATAAAGTACAGGGTCCAGATCGGTAATTACCTCTCACACTGTATTAATTTTACGTTCAAATGGACAAATCTTTGAACATCATTTAGGCGGGTTTTTTTTATATACGCTTTTTCCCCCAAAATTTATTCCTATCTTCGAACCTTTTTCCAGTTTCACTCTTAATGGCCACTCCAACTGAATCCTCCATCCTCTCCGATCTACAAACCGCCGGCGATTCCAAAATCATCCACTCACTGGTCTCCGACTACCTCCGCCCAATCTCCGCTCTTGCGAATTCCAAAAAGAAGAAACCCGACGAAGCCGCCATCCGCTCCCTCGCCAAACAGTTTTTGTCCTTCATTTCCAAATCCTTCCCGATAATCTACAAGCGCATCTACATACAAAACCCTACTGAACAACAAAAAGCCTCTCTCAGTGATTTCTTCGAGACTTACCGGCTTTGCATAACCTGTCTTGAGTTCGTCTCTTCGCAGATAGCCGGCGGTGCGCACTTGGTTCAGATCCAGAGGTTGAAGCTCGTTTACTGTTTACATTCCTGGGGACGGTACGATGATGGAGAGAGCGAAGCACTCAGGGTTTTGGAGAGGCTTAGAGGGGAAGCTAAATCAAAAGGTGAAATCGTCCCGGGTATCGATGTTGCTGGCGGTGATTCGAAGTTCGGATCTATTGTGGTCGAAGCAGTAGCTTCTGTAGTGAAAAATGTGGCCATGGGACACAGTAAAGATTCTGGGAAATATGAAAGGGTTCTTGCTTTGGTGGAACAAGTGAGGCCTTGGTGCAGGTATTGAATTTATTGATTTACTCAAATACTTTCCCGAAATGATTTGCTTATTTATTTATTTATTTATTTTTCTGTGAGTCTTTATAGGGCATTAGACTCCGATGTTGTTGAGAAATCGCACAACGTGCTTGTTACTTTTCTGGGCAGATGCTGTCGGTTTTTGGTTGAGGAGATTAATCATTTTGGCCTCGAGTTGGTTCGACGGTTCTGCATTCAATGTTTGGCCGAGTATGCTAGGTCAATGATGAAGGATCAAGTTTATAAGGTATACGTTGTTACTTAATATTTAGCCAAGCATATATGTTTTTTTTTTTAAAACATTCTTCTAATTATTACATTTGCAGTTTACCCGCAGAATATGTTCCTCACTGTTCTCTCTAGAAAGAACCAATAGCTCAGTTCAAATTGCCTTAGTAACGTTTTTGTTAGCATCCACTTCCCGTGAATGCAAGGTAAGATTGTCTATATAACATTTTAGAATGATTGAGGAATATGTTCAATAAGTCATTTAGCTTCAATAATTTAGGATTTTTGTATGTGTGCAAGTTTTGACTATAAATTCATGTTGCAGCCAACAGTTCCCCAACACCAA